TAAGGATAAAAAGATATGTTCACTATTTGATGAAATTTTGCACAATGTTATATTACTGTAAAATTTAATAACAATTAAAATTAGAATACTGTCATTGTTTTTTATTTAATGGTACATGCAACCTCAATAAATCTGGTCGGACAATTTCATCCAAATTTATATCTGTCTCGTTTCATTATTCCACTGTTTCTTGTTAATTCCCTCTCGCAGCAGATTGGATTATATACGATTTGAGAAACGGTCGTAACTCAAGAAACGTTGTATTTCATGAGTGATCACGAGGAATCTAACCATAGCGTTTAATGAATTTCTCATTTTCTGCGAACGACCGCCAGCATTATTGCACTCTGCACTCGGGCTCGTTTGTCATCCAAATAAACTCGGTGTAACAGACGCGTTCCAATTTCTTTGACAAAGCTTAATTAATCCCAACGTACATACCGCCGTCTAATTCTTCTCTTCACTTTAGTTTCGAAGACGGTTGATAATGCGATTTCACGATTGCGAGCGCAAATGTTTTCGTCTGTACACACGCGGTCGGGGGAGCAGCCACGTGACACAGCCACATCTTGGTCGTCACCGCGCATGAGAGAATGTTTAATTCCGCTGGAAACGCGAGCAAATCACCGTAGATGATGTATTATCACGTCGCGCCCCGCCTTATCTGGGCAATCATCGGCAGTATATTTTACGGCCCGATCAGAATCAGGCTAAAAGTATTTTTCCGTAGCTTCGCGGCACCTGTTGCACCGCGCCAACCATTCTTACCGTTCGTTTCGTCACAAGCCGAAATTCTTCGTAATATTGACGAGACCTCCGATTACACGCGCTTCTCTGTTGTTCTTTGTTTATTGCCGTAATAACAAATTCGACACGAGCTACGGCGTGTCTTAAGAATGAGCGTGGAACTCGCGACCCTGAATGCCAACGCCAATAATCATCGCGGCGGCCGAGTAATTAAAGGTGCATTATTATTTTCCGTGAAAAATCACAATATGCACACCTTTTTCTACCGCGTTTATGATATCATGCAAAAAATGAAGTTACCGGCCGCTGAGTAAGAATCACCCAATAATCTCCAAGTGACGATTCTTCAAGTATTAGAACTACTTAATCGTCACTCCCAACTACATCTGAATTGAAAGTGACGATTCTCCAACTATTAGGACCATCCTTAGTATCAGGACTAGCCTTTGTATCAGGGCACCCATCCTTGCATGCGTCCCTTTCAATAATGGGTTAGGGGGTAATACCTGGTGACCGTCATGATCCGGATAACTGCCATGATGTCACAGGTCTGTCCTCTGGGAAAAACCAATATACTAGCGTTAAGACGTCGCATTAGTTTTATTTTCGAAACAGCTCCGTACGCAACAAGAAAATGCTTTATGACGGATGAAGCAATAACTATAAAATGCTAAACGCGGAAAGTAAGAAATAGAGAAAATGAACAATATTTCAGGCTATTAAATTCTCGTGTACGTGTTCCATCGAACGGAACAATAATAATAACAGTTGTCGTTTCAGGTTAATTAGAGTAAAAAGAACAAACTCTGCAATGAAATTTGGAAAACAAACAAAGCATACTTAATCATACTTATAATCATATAGCGTGATTTTACATTGTAATTTTATAGCTTTGTGGTAAATTAAACTACACGTGTAATGATGATAATTATAGATCACGGTTATTATCGATCGATCACTAATCACAGCAAGATTGATTAGTACAACTTCTCATTTACAAATCTGTATGATTGCAAAATTAATTCCACTTCTGATGCTATTTTTGATTTACTAATCTGAGTCTTTAATCAGTTCTTTAATTTCATAGCATCACGTGAATAATTTTATTTTATCTGAGTGATTCCTTAATTATTTAAATCTGATGATTTCCAGATTAGTTTCTTAACTTCATAGTGTTACGTAAAAACAAATGGACAGAATAATTTTGTAACTTTATGGTAAATTAAACTAGACGTATGATGATATGAATTGTGATAATTATAAATCACGTTCGTTATTGATCAGTCGCTGATATAATACCAAGATTGATTAACGCTAATTTTTAATCACAAATCTGAATGATTCCATAATAGATTTCTGAATTTCATGGCGTTACGTAAAAGCCAGTGGACAAAGCGATTTCTACGGTCGCGTGTAGAACTTGTAATTCTGTTCCGTTCAAGGGTATCGAGTTTTCCGAAGCAAAATGATCATTTAGTATCTCCGCCGCCGGAGTTCCCGAGTCTCCGTATCCGGAGTTTCGCGAATAGATTCTATTACTCAGCTTTAACTGCTCGAGTTCGCCTCGGGCGATCGATAGGGCCGCGCTTTGTTTCTGAAAATTAAAAAACACTAAATACACTCGTCTGCTTTTAAATTAGAAGTTTCCCGGGACGAATGTATTAGGAAGGGACCTGTTGCGTTTTACATACGAATAGTTGAATAATTCAAGAATGTTTCATGTTTTATTTACCTTCCAGAGGATTTAAAATCAATTCCTTAAAAAGCGTAAAAACCTAATTTCATTCTTGAATACATGAAAGATAACGAAACGAGAGATTATGAAAACGTAGACTGATTTGCTTATTTGAGAATAAATTATTGAGGAACGTTAGGTATGTAGAATAAAAAAAAACTGTAAAACGAGGAACAGTTCAATGAACGATTTATTTGCGTCTGGCCAGGAGGAAAGAAATTACGGGTAAATCGGCATCGCGTTAAATGGGATGAATTACACACAAATTGGAGATAGTTAAATAAATCATCTGATTGTTGGCACAGTCTAATCGCTACCGATTAGGATCTCACTTTTATTTTATGATTCACCAGTCTCGCAGCATAACTGCTAAATTTCTCGGTTAGCATGAGAATTCCGTTTAACGAAGGAATGGACGGGTAAATAATAGTTACCTAATCGTTACATGGATTCGCATACATCGAATTTGTTTTTCTGCACTCCTTCTGCACTCAAACGATTATTACTACGTGCAAAAATCATTCGCAAATAGGTATATGTGATAATTGAAAATTGAGTCAATGCACAAATGAATTTTGGCAGCTGTCAATGCTAAAGAATTTATTATTAGGATTTAAGATTTTCGGGACTTCATGTATAATTTCTAATATTCTAATAAGGTAGCTGTTCCAATTTTTGTTCACGTCACAATTTATAC